TATTCGTGATAGTAGATCGTTTCACCAAGATGGCACATTTTGTACCATGTACAAAATTTATCACAGGTGAAGAAACAACTAAGCTCTTTCTTGACAATATCTATCGCTATCATGGATTACTCAAGGATATTATATCAGATAAGGAAACTCAGTTTGTATCAAGATTTTGGAGAACCCTTTTCAAGATTCTAAAAGTGGATATAAAACTATCTTCGGCATTCCATCCTCAAACTGATAGACAAACGGAGCGTATTAATCAAGTTTTGGAGCAATATTTAAGATGTATCATTAACTACCAACAAGCTGATTGGACAACTCTTTTTTCCATTGATAGATTTTGCTTATAATAATATGGTGCATTCTTCTATGCAACAAACACCTTTCTTTATCAATTATGGTTATCATCCACGACTACACACATTTGATTTTTCAAAAGTTGATAATCTTGCAACAGAAGATATAGCAAATTGGTTGTTAGAGTTACATGCAACAATGAAGGCGTAATTAAAAGAAGCTCAAGAACGACAAAAGATAAATGTGGATGTCTATCGAAAGAACAACCACCATTCCACATGGGCGATAAGGTATGGTTACTTTGTCACAATATCAAGACTACTTGTCCTTGTGATAAGTTGGACTATCGGAGGCTTAGACTATTTTTATATTTTTGCACAAATCAATCTAGTTGCATATCGTTTAATCTATTGGAGTCAATAAAAATCCATCCAGTATTCCACGTATCTCTTCTTGAAATATACAAGACAATGGACATATTAAAAAGATGACAAGCTCCACCTCCTCCTATAGAAGTGGACAATAATAAAGAGTTTGAAGTAGAAGAAGTCTTAGATTCAAGATGGCGCCAAAATAAATTAGAATATCTTATCCATTGGCATGGATATGATATTAGTGAATGCACATGGGAGCCAATAAAAAATCTTACAAATACAGCAAAGGCCATGGAGGCTTTTCATTGATGAAATCCATTAAAATCAAGATGAAAACCATCTTTATAAAAGAAACAACATCTAGGCAAGATAACATTCTACTTTCAGTCCTTGTTTGTAGCTTCTTTGTAGTTGTGATGCTCGGGAGATGGAAAACCAACAACTAACGAATTTGACTCAAGAACCTTTATTTATTGACCTGTCGGATGAGGCATTATGATTGAGGCAACCTTTAAGATGACGCAATCGAGATGAAGATCTTCAAGAACGACATATTCTTCCTCGAATAGATGGCGAGATATTACACATTTGATATCATGACCTTGGAAGGGACTCCTGATGTTTGGTGATTTTACTAGAAGTAGGAACAATTCCTGATGGTGTTCCAAATGTTCTATTCGAAGGAAGTTATGAAGGCCTCAATAATGATCAAATAATAGGGTGGTCTTCTTGCCCTGATATGGAATACTACCGATGGTTGAGAGGACCTATCAATCATCTTTGAAGAGAACAAAGATCAGAGTATGTGGCAAATATAATTCGTAGCATCATAGATTTTTTCAACATATGATGACCACTCCTCATGGAATTCATTCCTAGAAATGAGGGTAATATCACAGACACACTCATATAAGCTAGTAATTACATATATTAATAAGAAGAAGTAAGTAATACTAAATAAAAATAAGTTAATTCTATAGTATTTTGTATGGTAGCTTTTTAGAAGCTTCATAGACGTTGCTTTGACTTTTTAAGTGTCTTTAATTAACTTTTTGGATTAGAAACATTGTCAACAAGTTGGCCATGTGCCACACATGTTGTTGGCTTCAAGATCAAGCTAACAATGTGGCCCACACGTAGAAAAGCTAGCCTTGTAAGTCAAGGTAAGTGTCCTATAAAGTCAATACATATTGAAGGTCCCATAGAACATCGCCACATAGCCCCTAGTTACATAGTATATAAAGAGACAAGAGTGAAGCCTTCTTCACACTTGTCAATTCTTTTCTTGTTTTCAATCTAGTTTCAAGAGTCTTCATGTTTTCTAGTCTTTGGCAATAGCCATTCTAATTTCTCTTTCAATATACATACTTTTTTATTTATATTTTGTTACTTTTCTTTAAGTGAAGGCTCACTTGTCCTTCACAATGACTTCCAAAACATGTTGACTTTGCTAGCGACATGACTTAACTTGCAAGACAAGTTATGTATGTATGCGCCACATAGTTAGCATGTTTTCTAAGCTACCAACACGTGGTTAACTTGTTGGCCAAGTTTCCAACCTACAAACATATCTAAAGTCAAAACTACATCTATGAAGCTTCTAAGAAGCTTCTCTAAAAGACTTTATGAAATTAATCTATATTTACCTACTTCTATTTAATCATATAAGTAATTATTGAAATCAATGTAGATGTCCATGATAGTAGCTATGTTAACAAAATAAAAGTTGGATGAAATATTTTAATATTATAAGAACAAAAGTTATATGAAATTAGATAGAAAAATATTACTCAAAGTAAAATTCTAGATGTTAAAAAGTGGAATTAGATAATATAAACAATCCTAATTAAAAAGATGCTTAAAAATATATGTATTTATATTACTTTATATATATTAAAAATAAAATAGATAATTTTGACTTATTATTAAGTAATAGAATTTTTTTAATGAATCTTTAAAAAATTCTAAAGAATTTTTTAAAATATCCACAATGTATGCATCAAATTACTATTTCAAATGTTTTTCGCTAGAAAATAGTTTCATGCATTTCTTTCTATGAAGTATTTTATGAAGATTTAGAAGAAATAAAAATATAATTAAAAATAGAGCAGAAAATTAATTTTTCATAGAATAATTCTATTAAGAGAAGGTCTTTTTTAAAGTGTAGAATATAAAATTTTAAAAAATTTCATACAAAAAGTCTAGATTTTAATCACAAGATAACTTTTCAATGATAAATAACATAAAGATTTCTTAGAATATTATACAAGAAAAGATGAGAATCTTAACAAGACTTCAAAAATTATATATGCTGATCCTTATTTTTTTATTAGAAAAAAAAATTGTATTAGAAACTTTGAAGCCAAAAATATTATTTAATATAGCTAACATAATGTTTATTCAAATGTTGATAAAATTATTAAAATTAATTTTTGTAAAAGTAATACATCCAAATTAAACAATTTTTTTATCATTTAGATTTGTACTAGATAATATATTTGTGATCTAAGAAATGCTAATTTAAAAAAAGGTCTTATGAAGACTTGTTTGTATTATAAATAAAATCTTAAAAGCTTGTTATATAGTATAATAGAAATATTTTTTGAACAAATAGAAAAAAATAGATTCTATTGCAATATTTTTATATTTGATAAAGCTGGTATTTAAAGAAGAAAAACACCTCTATTAATATATATATATATATATATATATATTAGATACAAAATTTAAAAAATTAATACTATTAATATTATACTAAATTTAATGTGGCATGTTGCATTATAATTATGAAGATATTATTGTTTTATCTCTTCTAATGCTTTTCTTTGATATAGACTAAAATTCTTAAAGCTATAGATTAATATCAGTTAAACCAAAAGTTAAGAAATTGGCTAAAAGACTTTGAATGTATTCAAGTTTCAAACCACTTATGGCATCTAAGATCCAAAATTTTAAATAGAATAAATAAAGAATCAATTAAAGTTATTCTATATTTACATATAAAATCTCTTGTAATATATTATAAAACTTGGAATAGATTGTTATAGTAGAATTAATAATTCTTAACTATTAGCTTTCAAATCTGAGATTAAAAAAATATATATATTAGAGTTGCATAGAAACAATTTTCAATGCACCAAAGATACAATAAAGATAGATGATCTTTTAATTATATCCTTAAAAGAAGAATTTGTCAAATTTGGCTTAAATTTCTAATTTTCTTTTAATAAATTATCTTCTATCATCTTGTTTATTAATCCAAATAAATATATTAGAAAATAGAATTTTCCATAAAAAATTAAATTATTAAATTTATTTGTGTAGTTTTATAGAAGATATAATTTGATCTACATAATTTTAGTTGATAGATCCTAACCTAATTATATATGATAGGTAATATCTTTTCATGAAAATACTTGATAATATAGAATTTTTTTGGATTATATTTAAATTTAAAGTATTTTATTATATTAAAAAAGAACTAAGAAAAAAAAAGTTAAAAAATTGAATGATAAAAATAATTTTAAATTTTTTTAAAGTAATAATGCTTGATTAATTTGGAAATTAAATATAGCTAAAAATAAGAAATAATTTCTAATAAAACTAAAGATATAGTTGAATTTTATATTTTATTTTAGATCTTATAGTATTTAAGTAGAAATTTTAAAAAGTTATGACAATATATAATAAAATTAAAAAATACTTCTAAAAATATTACATTTGTGATAGGATTTGATATCAAAAAAATAGAAAAGTATCATTTATCTAAACTACTTATTCAATTAGAAGAATATATGGTTTATGATCAAATTTCTAAAGAAAATAATAACAATTTTGCTAACATGACATAAAAAAAAATTATTAAAAAAAAAAGAAATATTTTATAATAACTCATCAACAAACTCTCTACCATTTGTGATTGGAAAAAAAAAACATATATATATATGTCATATATTTATATATATATGTATATTGCTTATATATATTGCTTATATATATAGATTGCTTATATATATATGTCATATATAAAAAACACATATATCATATATTTATATGTTTTTTTTTTTTATATATATATATATATATATATAAGCAATATACAATACCTCAAGATGGCATAACCATATACTCATAAATAGATATACATAGTTTGCATTTGGTAAAATATCCCCTCATGTCTACTTTTTGGAACAAGAATATGATGACATAAAGCGGAACCTGGGCAATAATAAAAATAATAATAATAAGTAAATTAAGCCGGCGAAGTTCAATCCTCATGTATAGTCATCTAGCCGCTATGTGTGTACGTATGTAAGTGCAGACATGTGTGTGTAACATGAATAGGGCTATAAATAAAAGCGCAAGATTGAAAAAACATTTACAATATTGAAAAAAATTCCAACTCAACAATACAAAATATTGAACATAAACCAGTGTAAACATTAATGCTATTCAGATTCTGCATCATATTTAAAATAAACAGTTTTTCCTCAGGTTTTCCGGATTCGTGGAGAATACGTTAATGCTTCTCGGAGCTGGCTTCCGCCCTCGTCGCCTGCCGGTCCTGTTCTCTGATCAAGCTCTTAATATGGCTTGGCCTGAAATTGATGCTCGGAGGATAACCTGACACAGTGATGGTTTTTCCTTGCTCTTCGCAGTCTGCCCAGCAACAATACATCACGATTAGTATGAATGGTACTGGTTCCACAGACTTGCCTTTAACTTAGAACATGGAGGTGCAATCGCATAGCGAATGAAACATACCGAAACCTTGAAAAGACTAATGGAGCTGCTCTCGAATGGCTTGGATGTGCAAGGTATTGCTGAGTAGGAAACTTTCTGAAATCCTGCAGTTTGATTACTCCGTACTGCAATCTAGTTTGACCTGCTTTACTAGGGAGAAAATCTGCGACCAAGCATAGTGATCAGAATCCACAAGCAAAAAATGAGAATCGCTCATATGCGTAACCCTATTGACTGAAATCAGTTAAGACAAGTCTTTCAACCCCACCACCCCCCACGAAAAAACCACAATCCCAGAGCAGGAACAATTGTACTCGCATCGCAACCAGCCACCGACAGCTAAGTTCCAGCACCCCTCATAATGAATCCCCATGGCAACTAGACATTACCTGCTACCCACAGATGCAAGCAACGAATTAGACTTCGTTGACGCAAATTATAGTAAGTGACACGCTGAAGATAGCCGCCAAGCCTTTGCAAAACATTTAAGTTGATGCAGCTGAATGTAGACGATCCCAATTTATACCACAAGTGCTGTGAGTCACCAAATCGACTCAAGGTCAGTGTAAGAATAAAATGAATACAAATAGGATGCCAAGTCAAATATTTAGGTAAAGGATTACGTTAGAGAAGCTTGGTATAGCGAAATAGTGTTAAGAGAGAACAATCCCCATGATTATCCGAGTATCAGCCGATAACAAGGATTCTCGAGCGGACGCCGATCCGGGTATCTCGGACTTAACCGCGGTCGAAGTGTCTGGGGTGTACGGGGTCGATAATGCATAAAGTGAATGCAACATCAAACACTAAATAAGCTCAACTTGTAAGTCTCTGGAGAGACCAATTCCAAAAGATATCACCTCTAGAAAGGCACTAGAAATACAGAAACAACATCACCCATACAGTGAATGCAACATCAAACACTACATAAGCTCAACTTGTCAGTCTCCAGAGAGACCAATTCCAAAAGATATCACCTCTAGATATCCACCACACAAGCTCGACCGAGTGCTTGACGTGCAGATGATTTGCAGTTAAACCAGGGAGAGTGAAGACATACAAAGAGTTGGTGTATCGATCACGTGACTTTATGCCGATCGATCCGCAGTGGTGTACAAAAGGCGCAGCTTGCAATCCAAGTTATGCCGACGTTGTCTGCACGAAACAAAAAGTGGGAGCTGCCGGTTACTTGTTTTTGCACATACAACTTTACTACTAGGGTCACGTCCTCAGGCTCCCAGAAAGGAACCCTCTTCAGAGCAGACGGGAGTGCGACGTCGCTCATACAATGCTTGGATGTCGGAACAGCAGGGAGCATGCTAAAACGACCAACTCAGAGTCGGCAAACGCGTTGCGATCGTCGGTAAAGCTTTAATCCCGCAGACATTTATCATGGGATGCAGTCGGAGTCAACGGGACTCATTTTATACTCCTTACAATTAATTCATGACTACTCCTACTTTCTATATATATATATATATATATATAAACACATATATAAATTACAAAAGACATCTGGAATTTTTTTCACTTTTACACTTTTAAAACATTGGTTGAAAAAACTATTATCGTTTGCTTTGATAGTAGTGACAAATTTGTCTGCAAGCAATATTTTTGAAAGAAAAAATTGCACCTTCATAGAAGCAGCTTGTAGCATGCTTGAAATTGTCAAACGTAGCTACTCTTTTTAATTTGAAGAAACTGCACATGCATGTTATCTATACAACATTTTATTAAATAAAACTTTAAATTACACTACCTCCTATCACTTATGAATAAGTCTTTAGCTTAATCTATCCAATTTGAATTATTTTGATTGTCTTGTCTACTTTCAAATACGTGATGTAAAGAGCAAGTTAATGATGAAATAATAAAATTTACATTTTTGGCCTCACTAAAAACAATGATGTTGAAAGATTTTGATTTCACAATTCCACAACTTATGAAATATTTTTTAGTTCAAATCTCAACTTCTATTAAATCAATTTGCAGCATGATGCTAATTTCAAATCATCAAATCATTTTCACATTATTGAAATATCAACCATTAAATTACAAAATCCATATAATTGCTTAATAAAAAAATATATATATATGAAATTATGATACATAGATGAATACTTATTATAAATAGAGATTTAATTATAAAATATAGGATTTAAATATATCTAATACTTTTTCTTTATATTTATATAATTTTATAAAACATAAACAAACCCAATTCCTATAATAATACATTATATTCTTATTAGAACAATTCTTATTAAAAAAAATATACAATTTTAAAAATAATGTCATTAAATTTTGATTAAAAAAAAAAAACAAAACAAGATATAACAAATAAAAAAAATACTATAAAAAATATGACTACATAAGACTAGGATGAAAACTTAAACAAACTCAGTATTGTGTTTTTATAAATTTTTGGGCACCATTGTTAAGTTACAAAGTTGCTATAGGTCAATGAGCTAGGTTATGTCTTGTCTTTCTTTGATCCCACTTTGTCGGTTGGAGAGCAAGACTATGTGTGCAGTGGTGGTTCTTGTAGCATTGCAATTATCATGGACAAATGTTGGATTTTCTTCATGAGACAGCTAGACATTGTAGAGAGTTCTAGCAATTGTTGTTGTTCTTCCGGATGATGCTGTTGGATTCTTTTCTTGTTTGACAATAGTAGCATAATTGGTACTAGGAGCTGCGGCAAGTTTTCCTTGTATTTGAAACTAATATCAAATGTTTCTTACTTCTAATAAGTTGCTTTGGAAACAACCTACAACTAGAAGCTTAGGCTACAATTTGTGTGGCCTCTATCAAACATTTGCTCATTTTCTTCATAGCTAATATATATAGAAGTGAGACTAAAGCCACTCTCAATTTAGTCAATGCCATTCTTATGTTTCAGGTCTAAATTGAAGCCTACTTAACTTCTTTGTATTTTTTGATAGCAATTTAAGTTCTATTCTATCTTATAACTATCTATTCTCTCTTTATTTTCATTTTTCTATAGTAATACTTAAATACATTACCTTTTGACTTCTATTACAATTCAAGTCTTTGGCAATGCATCACATAATATAAATCAATATTCTTCACTTGATATCTAACCATAGTAATGTTACACTACTCATTATAAACTAAAACTCTTGACTTTCAATCCAATCTTAGCATTGTTCAACCAACACTCCAAAATCTCATAACAACAAAACAACAACTACTAAACAAACATCCATCAAAATCATTTAGCATAAACCCCAAAGTACCCAAGTAATAAGTTTAAACAACACCTTCATCCAAAAAATTAGCAACTAAATTCCAACCCAATCCAAAGATGTTACCTATCATAATCGAACTAGAATAATTTGCAAAATCATTTCTAAAACATACACAAGCCAACAGAAACAACATCATATATAAAGTGAATGCAACATCAAACACTAATTCCAAAGATATCAATTCCAAAAGAGAGACCAATTCCAAAAGATATCACCTCTAGAAAGGCACTAGAAATACAGAAACATCACCCATAAAGTGAATGCAATATCAAACACCACATAAGCTCAACTTGTCAGTCTCCAGAGAGACCAATTCCAAAAGATATCACCTCTAGAAAGGCACTAGAAATACAGAAACATCACCCATAAAGTGAATGCAATATCAAACACCACATAAGCTCAACTTGTCAGTCTCCAGAGAGACCAATTCCAAAAGATATCACCTCTAGAAAGGCACTAGAAATACAGAAACATCACCCATAAAGTGAATGCAATATCAAACACCACATAAGCTCAACTTGTCAGTCTCCAGAGAGACCAATTCCAAAAGATATCACCTCTAGAAAGGCACTAGAAATACAGAAACATCACCCATAAAGTGAATGCAATATCAAACACCACATAAGCTCAACTTGTCAGTCTCCAGAGAGACCAATTCCAAAAGATATCACCTCTAGAAAGGCACTAGAAATCCAGATTTAAATAATTAACTAAAACTTCACACTAAACAAACTGTTGACAACTGTAATATCCGGAATACATACTTTTACACACCAAGTGCTACAAAAATGCGACCTTTCTGTACATCAGCCTGCTTCTGTGCACGAGGTGAAACTCTCGTTACAAACCAGCACATTTGTATAAAAACAAGTATAAATCTACAGTTTCCCTATTCTCACCGACCGGTGCCCGCATTGCGAGCGCATGGAAATAGTGCTCTCCAATTGGCGCATTTTTGCACGCTGGCTCAATGATACTCAGCCCTTCGTTCAAAGTATCTTCCTTCTCATTGTCAGTATGAAACAAATCAGTACATATCCAGTGTTCTATTGCCAACGTTGTTCCATCCACAGATTCTGAAACGGTCGAAGACGTCGGAACGGACATGTTCGACGACACAATTGCCACATACGGCAGTACACGTGCTGCACTACACTGGGCTCAATGTGACGCCAAACGCTCTAAAGGCCACCGCATCAACGCCAATTCTTTCCACATTCCTGATCCTTCTTCGGATGTGATAGGTGCACTCAAAGACAACCTCGTTCCATGCACGATAAGTACCCAACTTCAACAATCATCCAGACCAAGACCACATCCTCCGCGACGCGGGCCGGTGCACCTTTCCGCTGCTGTACTTCTTCCAGCCAGTGACACATCGTGAATGCGACATTCCCAAACTCATCCTCACAAGATGCACAGTCCACGGCTACTGCTGCCGATCATGGCACAACTTACCACTTGCTATGTGTGCCCAACCAAGCCCCTCTCGACGCTCGTCTCCAACCGCATTACCTGAGGGCGTCTCGTGACCAACCATCCTCAACAGGGATCGCTAGCGCAGTTCTGTTCAAGACGACAGATAGCATTCGCGCGTCCTTCGACTCCAGCACAGACTGCTCTGGGACAAGACCATCCGGACAGACTCACATCGTATCATTCGCTCATTCTCGCACACGCAGCCACAGCAACACATGCACAACGACTCCATCAAACCATTGCAACCCACCCATCCACTGCACATCGGGCGCACGCGAGTCTCACAGTCCCGTGCCGACACTCACACTCACACTCGACACTTGAAAACTCTGAGATTTTGGAAATTCATGGCTCGCGCAAATAGTGTACAATTATGTCGTGCAGCTAAAAACTTCCTTGAATGCCAAGGTGGAAAATTATGCACATTCTTTTATGTTCCAGCAGGTGGTCGTCCCATGCACCGTCTGACGATCCAAACCGCCACACAGCACGAGCCTCCTCCCTTGATAGCTTCAGCGAATATGGCGGCCTACTCACTTGCCCACCAGGTTACTCAATGCGAAAATCGTGTTATGGCCGGGATCGGCAAGATGTGCCAATAGATTGTCGATGGGCCCGGTGTGAGTGTAGTTCGCTTGCACCACGGCGCCCAGCACGGCCAGCATGGCCAGCCTCCCATTCTTGATCTCCCTTGTCCTCAAATCCTTCAGCTTTGCGGCATCGCCCGTTTGGCCCCAGCCCAATGGGTCAAACCATAGACCTCCGGGGTAACCCACGTCGGTCCCGGTCAGCTTGTTGTTGGGAAACACGGGGTCCACGTTCACGCATCCGGGGTTGATGATGTCGGCCCATCTCCTGCCCTCTGCCCATGCAAACAGGATGATCTCGATCACGAAAAGTGTCGTCGCGTCCGTGAAGTATTGTTGGTCCCCAGCCACGGTCCACGACGGTGTGTTCAGGATTCCTGCCTTGGTCAGGGCCTCCGGAATGAAGATACCAGCAGCTCCCAGCATGGCCCACCGGCAGTGAACAAGCTCGGCTTGTACAAACCACTTCAGAAGCTCAGGGTCAGATCCTGCAATGTCATAGCGATCCAGTCAGATCACTCCATCCACCCGGCACCTCACCACGAAGCTAACGTTCGACGCATTACAAGACACTTGGTTGAACATCTTACCGAGGCCGAGAGGGTCGAAGCCGAAGTCTCCGGGCAGGCTGCAGAACAGTCAGGGCAAAGGCCTTAGCAACATCACTCGTCTCTTTAACACACAACGAGTCGGTGACAAAGTCCTCATAAAAATCCAAGAATTAGGTCTTAATTTTACGCAGCGATCTTTTTCATGCAAGCCAAAAGTGCAGCGAAACTCACGACAACGTCTTTCGGGACATCGCCCGGACTGACGGGAGAGGAGTCTACCTGCCGTCGAGCCATTCTGGGGGCTGGCTTCCAGGGAACCACAGGGGCCTGTCATTGTTGGGGAGGCTGGGTTGAGCGGGAACCGGGGCCTCGGCCTGGGGAGATGCAGCGATCCTGGTGACCCTGCGTACACGTCCAGCCAACAAGGAGGTCCTAGCTGGTCCGGCACTGTTCACCACCTTGCTGCATAAAAGAACATGACATGCCAAGCGCTGGTGAGTATACTTAAGCTGTGTCACCCCTGTGCCAACTCCCACAAAATCACGACAGCCGCGCAATCCTAAAAACCAACACCTCAAGTTCGGAGGGAGAGAGAACCAATGGATAACCTAGGCAATCACACCAAATTACCACAAAGTCGCCGAGTGCAATTCCAACTCAAACCGCGGAATGCAGCGACGCGCAAGTCGAGAGGGCAGGCGGGGGGGGGGGGGGGGGACACAAACCTGGTGGATGGGCCAGCGACAACAGCGACGTTGGAGGAGGCGCACACAGCGGATGCCATGGCAACGGACGGAAGGGAAGGGAATGGAAGGGAGCAAGCAGGCAGGCAAGCAGGGCAGAAGGGGAGAGAGCAGGCAATGGAAGCGAGCGAGGCCAAATGGCTGCCGAGAGGGGGCTCCGGGCTTACGAAGGAAGGAAGATGCGTGCGGTAGCGCTGGTTCTAGTGAGTTACTACTAGTGAGAAGAGGGATAAGGTGGAGGGGAGGTCCGATGCACGCCCGGCCATTGGGCCATGCCCCTGCTATCTGCTCTCCCCCTCGCCCATTGGCCGGGACCCATCCTCCCTGGAACTCCCACCCTACACCCCCTCCCCAGCCAGCCTCGTTCCATCCCCGCTTGTTGCTGACTCGGATTCCCCGCCCCCCCCCTTCTCCACGTCGTCACCTCCTTCCCACCTGGATCTCCACTGCTCGTTGTTGTATGGATGCGCTGCATCTCCCCGCCACCACGCTTCTATCCCACGTGGACCTTCGCTAATTATCTGTTCTTTTTCTTTCTATCTTTCTTCACTCGTACATATCTGTTGCTTGTTATGCAACACCAAATATTGCTCATGTCTCTGAAGCATTTTTCTCTATCTATGCCATAAGTTATTGGTGTTGTTGTAGATATCTCTTTGTATGTGTGTAGAGGTAAGGCAATGAGCTTAGGCCACAAATGAAGGGAAACTTGAGCAATTTTTTTCTTGAGGATTCAACACCCTACAACTCCATGTTTGTAATTCTTTTTAAAGATGACCTCCAGCATGTTGAGATGGATATTATATCTAATGTCAAAACTTTATGTCGCACATTACATGAGAAAAATCTTATTATTAGATGGAGAGCAATGCAAGAATCAGTAATTGGTAAATAAGTCCACATTAGTATTAGCTATGATGGATTATGTTACTCATCCAAAGTATTGACACCTGATAGTAAGGATGTTATTCATTTGAAGAGCTTGTATTTGTCGTAGATGATACCTGTTGAAGTATCTCAATGGCATAGAGTCAAAGGAGCAGTAAGTGAAAAGATAAAGTGTTATTATGAGGTCGTCAAAATTATTGGGAGACATAATAAAGTAGATGGATACTTAAAGGTCAAAGAAAGCACTAAATAGGCAATCAAGAAGTAACATGTTACATATTAGATCTTGTATAGTAGCACCACAAGTTAAGCTATTGTTTGGCCAAAAACTATGTAATTTCAACTAAGTAGTTAATTAATTCTTGTCTTTTTTTATTATTATGTGTATGTCACAGACATACACATGTAAGCCCATAATTACCTATATAAATAGGTAGAATTAAGTAGAAGTAGATAAAAATAAGTTGATTCTATAATATCATCTATGGAAGCTTTCTAGAAGCTTCATAGATGTTGCTTTGACTTTATATGTGTCTTTAATTGACTTTTTGGGTTAAAAATGTGGTCAACAAGTTGGCCATGTTCCACACATGTTGTTAGCTTGAAATCGAAGCTAATTATGTGGTCCACATGTAGAAAAATTTGCCTTATAAGTCAAGATATGTGTCCTACAAAGTTAATACATATTAGAAGTTCTATACAACATCGCCACATAGCTCCTAGTTAGATAGTATGTATAGAGACAAGAGTGAAGCCTTCTTCACTCTTGTCAACTCCTTTCTTGCTTGTAGTCTAGTTTCAAGAGTCTCAAGTTTTCTTGTTTTTTTGCAATAAGCCTTTCCAATTTTTTTTAATATGCGTACTTCCTTATTTTTATTTTTTCACTATTTTTTTGGACATGGATTTCATTGGTTTATGCATTAAATTTTAGTTTATATTCTTGATAGATTGACAAGAGTACACTTATAGAATCAGAGCTTTGTCTTGTCTTGATTAAAGGTAGATTACCTCTTTCTCATGATAAGATATAAGCATATTAGAAGTTGTGAATTACTCTCTTTTAAACTTATATTATTCTTAGTATTTTCTTTGTCCTCAAGTTCTTTCTTTTTCTTATCTTGAGTGGTATTAGATATTTATTTTAATGTTATCATGGGAGATCTTGTTAAAATGAAGAGTGCAATGACACAAATATAAGAACAATTGAGGGAGTTGATACTTGCGATGCATCAACTTAGCTTACTACCACAAGGATCAACAAGAATGGTAAGAAGTGAGGATATAGAGATGATTAGAGCTGCTTCAATATTTGCACCAAATCATGTTCCTCCACCCATGGTGGAACATCTTTCAATTATTAGAGAACCAAGAGTTACTCTACCCGAGAAGTTTGATGGTATAAGATCTAAATTTTGAGGATTTATCAATTAAGTACAACTTGTGATTGAATTTCAACCTCAAAGCTATCCAACTCTAGGACCACAAGTTATATTCATTGGTACACTTCATCAAGTTAGATTTTTATTTTAAATGTGGAAGAAATCATGTAATTAGCAATTACGATAATATACAACAATAATAGATAAAGTATCAAAATATGCAAAATCTATGTTGTAGAGAGGTGACCATTATAAATACCAAAAAGCTATAGTTATTGGTAATCTTGATGATAGAAGTCAAGTGTGCCAAGGTAAGTATCTACACTAATTAGCACCAACTTAAAGTATCTACAAAAACGGAATAAATACCTCATCTTTTGTATATAATAAAACATTAAAAATTAATTGAAAGGATTTAAAAACAAATAGAATAGGATCTATGCATAAATAATGCCATAAAGCCAATTGATGTTAATGTTGAAGAAACTACATTATAGAATATATTCAATAATATTATGATTACAGTTTTGCTCGCTTGATTATTCAAACTAAATTTCAAAATATTGATGTATCTAAAATACAAGGCATGCTCTAAACCATCATACCAAGTAGTTGTAGATATAAATATTGCAACCATAGATTCCAACATTGCAATTATCAAGCTTTGTATTAAGAAGCATTAGCAAACTAATATACTTGTGGAAGGGAGATTTGGCATTAATATCATAGAAAATCATAAATCCAAGTTCTTTGGACTTTTTCAACTTAAAACAACTTCATTTACATTTTGCATGTCAAATAATCCTCAAGTTATGTTCCTTGAGATATTGCAAAATATAATTTTTACAATCTTAGAGATTAATGTACTTATTATTTTTTTCAATTATATAGATGTGTATGAAGAGCTATAGCTTGGTCTTCTTGAAAAGACTATGGTTAGGAGATTTGAATGGAATTTATTATTGCTGTAGCAACCAAATCACTATTTATTATTTATATCAAAACATGTATATTCATATTGATAGTTGTTTAAGTCAAGAAAAAACCTCGATGTTTCAATTAATTATAAGCAACAATGGAATATTTAGATTAAATTCCAATGAAAAGATTTTATTAATGTACTCAAATCATTATTGATTTCTATTATAAAATTAAACCTTGCGGTAATAACAAATGACAAACAATTGGATATATCCATGAAATTTACATTGAAGCTCTAAGACTGGCCTACCATTTATGAACACTGATCATACATTAAATTGAGAGGACAAAAAATTTCAAGATGGTTGCATAATCTGAAAGAAAAAATAGAACTTGTTTACTTCAAGACATCTTTAAAATCTAAACATATTAAATTAAATGCCAATATATTTAAAAATATAAAATCACTTTAATTATATTATTTTATAAATATTGGAATATATTTGCTTGATCATAGAAGGATGTAGAAAAAATAATTGGAAAAATAATAGAGCATTAGATTGATCTTGTCTCAAATGCCATTTCAATTCAACATTGGCATTATTAAATGAATTTCAATTATGTGCAATCCCTAAAATAAGAGCTTGACAAACTTCTACAAGCCAAATTTATTTTGCTTATGGATTTTGTTTTATAGTTGTCATCTATAGTAATCATCTCAAAAAATCACGAGCTCTACATTTGCATAGATTTTTATAAATTAAACTTTACTATAAAAAAATAATCTTTATTTCCTTCCATATATGGAAGAAATCATTAATAAGGTAACAAGCCACAAGATATATATAACTTCATTGATTATTTCTCAGGATACTACCAAGTAGCTATAGTGCTTAAGGACAAAAATAAAACAACTTGTTTCATGGAATGAAAACCATTTCAATTCAAATGCATGGTGTTTTGATAGAAAAAATGAATTGATGATATTTCAATGCATAAAAGAATTTGAATTTGAACCATATCTCAATTTATTTTATTTTTTAAATATACTTCAATGATGAAACCATCTGCATGCTTAAAAACAAACACATCCAACATTTGCAACAAATCTTTGAAGCTTGTTAAAGATATGTCATCAATTTGAATGTGGATAAATGTAAGTTTTTTTTTTTTTTGGAAGGCTCATACTTGTATATATTATCTATTATTTAGGCAAGTTTTTGGACTCTAAAAAAATCAAACAAATATAAAATATATCCAAATCTTGCAATCAAATATCCATACAAAGTACATGTTGGATTGCTTAATTTAATAAGATATTTATAAAAAAATTGAAACATCTAATCTCACTCATATCTAAATTTAATAAACACAAGTATGAATATGACCTTCATTAAAATGCAGTAGCTATTAAAGCTTTTGAAGAAATGAAAAGCATATTCACAAACCATCTTATATTTTTGGCATCTAACAAATAACTTTTATTTTTTATAAAACACTCACACATCTAATATTGATGTTGGAGTAATTCTTATATAAAATCACATGAGAAAAGCAAGTCAATCTATATTATACTCAAGCCAAAGGTTTAAAAAAATATTTTTTAAAATTTAATTATAGAATACAAGGCCTTGACGATGGTCTATGCTATAAAAAAGACAAGAAGTATTTACTTGAAAAGAAATTTTAGTTTGTTATTGATCATCATGCCTTATTTTACCTAGTAAATTAATATGTAATTATAAAATAAATAATCCAATGGATAATGTTATGGAATATGACTTCAAGGTTGTTCACATCTTTAGGAAATAAAATGTAATTATTGATTATCTCTTAAGAACTCTTAATATAACACTAAACACAAATATTGACAAATTGTTCTTAAACCAATACTTATACATTATTGTTGTAGATATAACCTCACTTTTATATAATTAGATGTATGATATTATTACATATTTGATTATCAAATATATTCCATTTATAATTATAAGATCGCATTGTTTCAATTT